CAAAGGTAGTAGTTTCTGTATTATTATGACCATGTAAATATTTTTCACTGTGCAGCCAATTAGTACATATGATTATCTTTCTATATTTTACAACTTTTTGAATTTCCAAGAGTCTCTAATTGTCTTTATTACTTTTTTTTTTTTAAATCTGGCTTCATTGTCTCTTTGAGTTGCTAATTCTTACGACAGTATAAAGTATCACAACCTATCCCTCACCTCTCTTTCTCCCCAAATACCTCCTAGAGCTTTCTGTCTCCTGCTTAGTCTAGACTGTGTTTTTTAGACTTGTTGCACAATTGCTGTCTTGGCACTTCTTTTGTTACTCTCTAGGATTGGCTCTGCTAGTTCTTGAATTTCACATCTTCCTCTTTTTTGGCTTATGTTCTTGTTTTGCTGGATAACATCATGTAATTTCATACATGGGAGTTTTCTTTGTCCTTGCCTGTGTAAAAGTGATTTTTTTTTACCTTATCTTTGCCTGTTGATTTGGCCAAGGGTGGAATTAGTTTTCCTCTAATACTTAAGTGGATTTGCCTTTTTTTTTCTTTCTTTCTAGAATCTGGTATTGCTAAATGAGAAGTCTTCTAATATGATTCTCATTGTTTTGTAGATGTACATTTTAATTTCCTCTCAGAGAGCTTTCTAGGATCTGTTAATCCTTGTGAAATTTCACCTAGATGTGAATGCTTACTTTATTTGTTCATTGTACTGGACTCTCATAAATCTCTTTTTGAGTTTGAAGATTTGTTTCATTTAGCTTTGGGATATTTTCTTGTATTATTTCATTGGTAATTCTATATTTTATCTTGTTGATTGTCTAGATTGATACTCTGTGTCTTGTTTTTAAGGAGCCGTAGTGGCTCAGTGGTTAAAGCACTCAGCTCCTAACCAAAAGGTCAGTGGTTTGAACCCACCGGTTGCTCTGCAGGAGAAAGATGTGGCAGTCTGCTTCTGTAAGAATTTATAGCCTTGGAAACCCAATGGGGCAGTTTTACTCTGTCCTGTTGGGGCCACTATAAGTTGCAGTTGACTATGGCAGTGGGTTTGGGTTTGGTCTTGTTTTTGCTATCTTAATTTTCTTTATCTTTTGTCTGTCTTTTTGGGAAAGATTTCTTGGATTTATCTTCCTCTTCTGAAAGAAAAAAAGAAAACTAGTAAGACATGTTGGAAGACATGTTCTAATTTCCAGAATTAAAAAAATTTTCTTCTATCTTTTTCCATAGTGTTCTGTTCTGATTTTATTAATTTCATTGTATCTTTTTGAGGATACAAATTTATGCATGTGCTTTTAATTTTTTTCTTTTGAAACAGTCACTTAAGTTATAGAAATGTAAATACAGTATAAATAATTTTTTTTCCCCAGACTGATGTCTTTCACCCGAATGCTTTAGTGTATATTTTCTACAAACTAGGACCTTTTATATAATCACAGTATAACCATCAAATTTAATAATTTAATATCGGTTTATTTATATCTGTAAAAATTCATGGTTTCTGTTACTGTCATTATTTGTTTTGATGCTCCGATTTTCCTGACTTGGCCAGTGGGAGCCCTTTTGATCTCACTTTCCTGTGTCCATTTGATATAGCCTCATCTTTCTTTTTGTTCTTTCTTGCTTTCTGGTACAACACAGTATCCCAGGCTTATCTTGTACTTTTCCTGCCTTAGCCCTCGAATGGGCCATTTTCCCAAGGATTCCTGGTTCCTTTTAGTAGAAAGTAGTATGTATAAGATTTGGACATGAGGTGCGCTCGTTGTTGGGTTGTTGCTGGTTTCAGGCTCTGTCAGTATACAGAGCTGGGGAATGTATGTGTGTGTGTGGTTGTAGGCATATGTGTGTATGTATCTATTTATATACCTAGATAGATATTCACATATACATACATTTATATCTATATTTATTTCTCTGTCTCTATGTATTGCAAACCATAAGTTCATGCTGATATTTCTTGTTCCAGTCCAATATCACAGGATTTATTTTAGCTTTCTCGCTTTCTGTATTTGTAACTTCCTTCTCTGGTGCAGATAAACTTGGCTTCTGTTTCATTTACTTATTTGATCAATCTCTCTGGATATAACCAATCTCCCATCTCTGCTATTGCTCTCCACCTTTGCATGGACATCCTGCTTGGACTCTGATTCCCCATTCTAGGCTACCTGTACTCTCCCAGCCTCCTTGAATTAGAAACGTATACCTTACACCACTTGGGCCTTGACATCCCTCACCAGGCTACCACCCAGCTTGGGCTCTGACATGCCATGCTATGTTACCTCTCTGCATGGATGTCCTCCTTACTCTGCTCTGGTTCTGATAACTCCACTCCCATCCCAGCTTTGGATACCTTCCTTACTTTTCTTGGGCTCTAACTTTCCACACCAGACTCCTTTTTCCCCTTGGTCTCTCATACCTAATAGATTTAGGACTAAATCATTGTGGTAGGTTGATGTGGAGGATTTTGTTTCTTCCAGGTATAGTTTTCCAGTTTTTCATGGTCTTTCATGATAAATTATTGTCTGTTCTTATTTAAGAACCAGTAACAAAAAGCATAATTTGCATAACAATACGGTATATAGGTATGCCTACAGCTACACCTATATATGCTCATGTATATACACACCTATACCTTCTTACACACATATATGTATACTTACCTATGTGTGTAACCAGTCACGTATTTTTTGGTTGTTATTGCTGTTGTTGCCAGATTGTATATGTTACAGCATTTACCAGTAGTGTCCCTTATTTTTGTGTATTTCTTAGTGTCATTCTTTACCTTGATTAAGTTGTGCTCACTTCAACATTCGGGTGTTGCCTTTCCCATCAGCAAAACTAACAAGTGTCTACTGTCTAGAGAGTGATCTCTCCTCCTTCCCCCTCCCATCCCTGGTAACCACCAGAGAACATTGATTTCTTTATGTATACCTATTTTTGTCATTTTATAAAAGTGGGATTATACAATCTTTGTCCTTTTGTGCTTGATTTATTTCACTCAGCATAATGTCTTCCAGATTCATCCATGTTGTTTTCAGACTCATTGTTATTCTTTATAGCTGTGTAGTATTCCATTATACGTATGTACCACGTTTTGTTTATCAGTTTATCCGTTGATGGGCGCTTAGGTTGTTAGCATCTTTTTGCTATTGTGAATAATGCTACAATGAACACAAGTGTGCGTATGCCTATTTGTGTCATTGCTATTAGATGCCTAGAATACATACCTAAGAGTGGGATTGCTGGACCATAGTTTATTTCTATTTCTGGCCTTTTGAGGAAGCGCCGTACCGTTTTCCATACTGGTTATACCATTTTACATTCCCACCAGCTGTGGATAAGGGTTCCAGTCTCCCCACAGCCTCGTCAGCGTTTGTTGTTTACTGGGTTTTTTTTTTTTTTTTTTTTTGATCAGAGCCATTTTTGCAGGGGTAAGATGCTATCTCATTGTAGTTTTGGTTTGCATCTTTCTGATGGCTAATGATCACGAGCATCTTTTCATTTATTTGTTGGCTGCTTGAACGTACTCTTTGGTGAAGTGTCCGTTCATGTCGTTTGCCCAATTTTTGATTGAATTGTTTGTCTTTTTATCGTTGAGTTGTTGAAGTTTTCCGTATATTTTGGAGATCAGACCCTTATCAAATATATCGTTCACAAAGATTTTTTTCACAATCTATAGGTTCTCTTTTTAATCTTCCGATAATGTTTTTTGATGAGCATAAGCATTTAATTTTTAGTTAGTCCTAGTTATCTAATTTGTCTTCTGTTGCTTGTGCATTTGTAGTTGTCTTTGGTAATCTATATCTGAAAACAGTTAGGTCCCATAGTTTTGTCCCTATATTATCCTCCAGGAACGTCTTAGTTTAACTTTAACATTTAGGTCTTTGATGCATTTTGAGTTAGTTTTTGTGTATAGTGTTAGGTATGGATACGGTTTAATTTTTATGCAAATGGATGTCCAGTTTTTCTGGCACAATTTGTTAAAGAGACTGTTTCTTCCCCATTGAATGGACTTTGACCCCTTATTGAAAATCAGCTGCCTGTAGGTGGATGGATTTACTTCTGGATTCTCAATTCTATTCTATTGGCCTATGTGTATATCATTTAACCAGTACCAGGCTGTTGTGATTACTGTGGCTGTATAACATGTTTTGAGACTGGGGAGTGTGAGGCCTCTGTCTTAGTCATCTAGTGCTGCTATAACAGAAATACACAAGTGGGTTGCTTTAACAAAGAGAAATTTGTTTTCTCATAGTGTAGTAGGCTAGAAGTCCAAATTTAGAGCGTCAGCTCCAGGGGAAGGCTTTCTCTCTCTGTTGGCTCTGGAGCAAGGTCCTTCTCATCAGTATTCCCCTGCACTAGGAGTTTCTCTGTGCAGGAACCCCTGGTCCAAAGGATGTGCTCTGCTCCTGGCACTGCTTTCTTGGTAGTATGAGGTCCCTATGTCTCTCTGCTCGCTTCTCTCTTTTATATCTCAAAAGAGATTGGCTTAAGACACTATCTAATCATCAATATAACTGCCACTAATCTATCTTATTACATCATAGATAGCATTTACAACACATAGGGAAATCACATCAGATGATAAAATGGTAGATAATCATACAATACTGGGAATCATGACCTAGCTAAGTTGACAGATATTTTTGGGGGATACAAGTCAATCCATGATAGCCTCCTACTTTGTTTTTCTTCAATATTGTTTTAACTGTTCGGGGCCTCTTTTTTTCCCATATAAAGTTGGTGATATAGTTTTCCATTTCTGCAAAGAATTTTGCTGGAATTTGGATCAGGATTACATTATATTTGTGGATCCCTTTGGAACTCTAAGGTAACCAAGAAGTTTATTGTGGTATAGTCAAATGTTTAAAATCATTGAGACAAGCCTTGATGATGTTTTTGTGGCATTAATTATTCTGGCTATGCATGATTCCTTAGTTTTTAGTTTATTAATGTGGTTTATAGTATTTTGTGAATTAGATTTTATACATTTTTATCTTTTTTTAGTTGACTATATCGTGGAGTATGACTATGATGCTGTACATGATGATGAATTAACTATTCGAGTTGGAGAAATCATCAGGAACGTGAAAAAACTACAGGAGGAAGGATGGCTAGAAGGAGAACTAAATGGGAGAAGAGGAATGTTCCCTGATAATTTTGTTAAGGTGAGTGTTCTCAGTTAAATTTCTAGCTGTTTCTTTATAGAATTTAAGCTTTACTTGTTAAGAAATGTATTTCTTAAAATATTTTAAGTAAATTTTTACTCCATATAATATAAAAAAATGTAGGTTTATGTACCGCTATAATGGACATTATTGTTGCTTTATGTCCTGGTGAATAATAACATTGTGTGGATGTATGTATGTGTGTACCTATTTTTATTTTTAATAAGTAATAGTTTGCATTTGGGTGGCAGTTTGTAGTTTAGAAAGTAGCTTTGTTGCATACATTCTCATTTGAGCCCAGTAATAGTCTTGAAAAATAAATAGGGCATGTACTAACTCCATTTTAAATATGGTGATATTTAGACTGAGAGGTTTTAAATGATTTGCTAGTGTTGTATAGCCAAGACAGAATCTGAACTGAAGACTGGGACAATTGCCTCTTACTCAGTGGTCTTCCCCTGGTATCTTGTTGCTTTTCCTGCTCTTTTAAGAATGTGTTAGATCATTGTTTTTGCAGCAGTTATCCTAAGCTGATACCAAAGTAACAATAACTCTTCAACCAATGACAAGCATTCCTTTTTTTTAGTAACTATTCTAGTCACCTGTGCCAGAAAGAAATGTTTATGACTCGTACACCTGTTACAGACTAATAAAATTCTCAATGGTTTAGAGAAGCAAAAAAGTAGGGAATATCTTTATATTTACATTTCCTTATAATTGTCTTATTTTCTGTGTTAGTTTTCTTACACCCAGCCACGTTGCCTGGCCTCATTAGATTATGGTTGTGAGTTTTGGGAAACTCAGTTGTGCCTTATTTGTTTTTCCAACTTGTATAATAGTTGTTAGCAGAACGCCTACACAGTGTAAATATTTGTTCCCTGAATAAATCTATGCTTATTTTGGTTGTGGTTTCACATCCAGGTATGAATACATTCTTTACTCCTCTTAATTGATTTCAAAGAATATTTGAATTTATTTTATCTCTTAAAACAGAAAAGCTATAGCAGGGAATTGAACTTAGTTGGGGAGGCTACTTTGTTTTGTAGATTTCTTTTTTATAACATATAATGGAATGTAATGCAGATACCATGGGAATTTGTGGTGCAGTGAATTATTTAATATCTGCCCTTTTAGCGGTGCATGGTCTTGTAACTCCCACAGTAATTGGGTGGGTATTTGTGGCCCACCAATTGGATTGGACAGCCTGCTAAGAATACAAATAAGGTTCATGGAACCACTGTGGGGGTGGGACCATGCAGATAAAGTGTATGGAACTCTAATGAGACGATTAATAAATTTTACCATCCCACTCAGCTTAAAAAGAGAGCCAGTCCCAGACTGAGTCCAGTACAACTAGATGTTCTTCAGTGAGGATGGTATGCCCAAAACTGCTAGAACCATCTCGAGACAAGTAGAATAGTATATGTGATTAAGATAGAAGAGAAGAGAGATGAAAATGAGTTGGATCCTTGCCAGATGTATCAAACTGCTAAATTAACCAACCTGGGAACCATCATACCCTCTAAACTTTTTGTTATATGAGGTAGTTTCTTCTGAATTAAGTAAGTGTTAGAACAGATTTCTATTTGCAGCTGAAAACATCCTTACCTGATAGCAAGAAATTTTAACAGATTTCTGAAAGTGCACTTATAGCTCATAAAATCAGGAAAAAGAAGTCCAGAAAACTTAAGGGAAATATAACTGAAGATGCCAAACAGCTCTGCAGAACCTCAGAAAGACTAGAAATTCAGAAAAGGAGAGCTCACATGAAATGTAGAGCTGAAAATGGGAATTTCTTAAGTCTACATGGAAGAGCTAACACTCCTTATCAAGCACAATAACTCTAAGGATAAAATCCTAAGCAGCCAGGTATTTTTCTCCCAAAGCAAAAAACTAAAGGGTTAAAAAAACAGTATAGCAACTTTGGATGAGTGCTGTTTTCTCAGAGCAATGACTACTGAATTCCAGAATTTAGAGGTCCTCACAACAGTGGCCTGTTCCCCACCTGCTGATTCTAAAACAAAACCCTAAGTCCTACCCAGACCTGATGCTGCCACCATGCCATTTTTGCAGTGCTTTATTACTAAATTTTCTATAAAAAGCCACTTTCATGAAGAAAAAATTTCAATAAAAGGATGAGAGGCCAATGTCATGGTATACTATAGCCCATCAATATACCACTTGTACAGAGGAGAAAACAGAAATTATGTGATTTTCCCAGCAAAGGGCAAAGCTAGAACTTCACTCAGTTTAGATCCAGTTATTCTGACTCCAATGCTGTGAGAATGGTGGTGCGGGGGCATCTGACCTTGTCTAACTTCGAAAGGGCAGCGAATCATCAGCATCAACAGCCCACGGCTGAGTTCTGTGAGATGGAGGTCAAACATAACATCCAGCCTCCAACCTTTTTACCAGTTCTGAAACTAGCCATCCCTCCCATGGCAGTCTACTCTGCTGGGTTGGATAATTTGTTGAAATTTGTTGAAATGGCCACATAGAACTCACAGACAATACTCACAGTTATGGGGTTTATTAGGGAAGTAACAGGTTACAATTCAGTATCGGGAAGGACTCAGGTACAGATCTTTGGTCAGGACAGCTCATAGGCCATGCCTGCAGGCAGGCCTCTCTCTCGACCCCTAGGCCCCTCAGGCTGGCTTCTGCCCTGCTCAGTCAAGTTTTACAGAGCTCTTTAGCTCCGTTGACAAGTGCCAAGAGGCACCCCACTCCAAAAGGAAGCCTCCTGCCTGAAGACACTTAGCTCTCTCGCTCTGTGGGTCAGCACACCCATTGTGGCTTCCTTGTACCATGGAGTGGGAGGCCTACTGAACTATCTTGTGCCAGTCTCCTGGTTCTGCTGCTGCTGTTTTATGCTGTTGCTTTTTGGCTTCTTATACCATCTCTGGTGTTACAGCTCTGTCTCTCTGTCTCCTGAGTCTAGGAAGTTCTCAGCACAGGGTCCCCAGGTCCAATGAATGTACTCCATTCCCGTTTCTTTATTGATGGTAGTGAGGTCCCCCCTTTCTGGGTCTGGGATGGCTCATTTTAAGCCTAGCGGTATGGGAAAACCGATCAATCTCTCGTTAGAGGTCCATACACCTTATTTGCATGGTCCCACCCCCCACAAAGGTGCCATGCACCTTATTTGTATTATTAGGAAGCTATCAAATCCCCTTGGGCCACAAGCACCTCATTTGCATAACCCCACCCAGTCTTTTAGTGAGAGTTACAAAACCATTGTGAGAAAGGCTGTATAAAAGCAATCTATCGCACCTCAAACACTGATTAAAAAAATAAGTTAAATATATTTATATAGTTCTCTTGATAGTGTGCTGATGATGTATGGTAGCAGTAGCAGGAATGATCCATCATGAGACTTTTTTGAAATATATTTTACTTTCCTGTTTTCAGTTTGACACTATAACTTGAATTTAATAAGCTGCCTGCTGATAAAGAATGCAGCTTATTAGTATGCTAGGTATTACAGGGAGGCTTAATCTGGGGTTAAAAATTAACCGCATGGTACTAGATTAGAGTTGGAGACATCAGCATGAACTCATGTTTAGTTTAAAACACATACTGATAGGTAATAGATACAGAAATAATTGTAGATGCGTGTATATATGTGGATTAGTATACAGCCATAATATTTCTTGGTTCTTTCCACTGAGAGGGCCTTAGAAACAGTGGCACCCCAGTAGCATGAGCATACTCAGTGCCGAGATCTTGGTTTCTAAATATTATTATCCAATAAAAGGAGCCAGGACTCCTTGGGAAAGTGGCTGCTTTTAGTTCTAGGGCAAGGAAGATGCAAGATAAGCCTATAGCATCATGTAGTCCAGTAAGTAAGGAAGTGCTCAAAACAAAAACCAAAATGAAAAAACCAAAATGATGGGGCCATGTCAAAGGGAAACAGAAGTCAACCTGATACAACTCCCAATGTCCAAAGCTGGAACAATTTGAGCAACAAAATAAATAACATAGTGTTAGATTATTTCCCAAAGAATATTTATTTATAGCAACATGGAGATATATACAGATATATATCTATATATAGAGCCCTGGTGGCATAGTGGTTATAAGAGCTCAGCTGCTAACCAAAAGGTCGGCAGCTGTCATCCACCAGCTGCTCCTTGGAAACCCTATGGAGCAGTCCTACTCTGTCCTGTAGGGTTGCTATAAGTTGGAATCCACTTGATGGCAATGGGTTGTTTTTTTTTTTTTTTTTTTTTTTTTTTAAATCTCTCTCTCTCCATGCTGCTAAAAATAATGATTGAATAAATAAATGGGAGAGAAACAATAAATTTTATAGAAGAATTTCAAATAATATATGTAAATACTCCTCCCTCCAGAAGTCCCCGTTAAGTGTGGGCTGGACTTAGTGACTTGTTTGTAAAGAATAGATAGATGGGAAGAGGAACAATAGTAATTTTACAGTGGAGAAACTGGCAAATACTACCTTAACCAGATGATCAGGGTTAATGTCATCAGTTGTAAGTCATGTTGATGTCATGTATCCCCTGATGTGATGAGAAGGGCACTTCACCCCTGGTAACTTTCCCAAAAACATATAATCCCAGTTTAAGCATGAAAAAAACGTTGGACAAATCCAAATCCCAGGAGCATTCTTCAAAATACCTGACCTGTACCCTTTAAAAATCGAGGTCATAAAAAACAAGGAAAGATTGAAAAACTGATATTGACCAGAGGAGACAAAGGAAATATTATGACTAAATGCACTGTGGTATCCTGGATTGGGTTCTGGAACAGAAAAAGGATGCTAGTGGTAAAACTGATGAAATATGAAAAGAGTCAGTAGCCTAGTTAATAGTAGCGTACCAGTGTTAGTGTCTTAATTTTGACAAATGTAACATGGTTACATATGTGCAGCATGGTTATTCAGGATGTTAACATTAGGGGAATCGGGTCAAGAGTATATGGTAACTCTACTACCTTTGCAACTCTTTGCTTTGATAATCTAAAATTATTCCAAAGTAAAA